GTAAAGACAATTCTACCAAATTTAATCAAATCATAAATTATGACTAGTTCTCACTTTGGTCCCTAAACAATATAGACTATGAAATTAGGTCCTTAGATATTCGACTTCTCACCATAAGGTCCAAATTTAGAATATTAACGAATATAACGAATTTTCGGGGCGTTACAGTACAAGTTTTACGGCCAATGATAACAACACCATGGAAACCCCTGGTAGATTAGTTAGGGATAAACCATGTGATCGCAAGCACTCAAGCCAACCAATTGCATGGCTACTCTCCCATGTAAAACTCGAATTTTCTTCCATCCCACTCACATACAAATTGGCAAAACCAACTTTGGGCCTCAAAATACAACAATCCAACATCATAGATCATTCAAAATTAAGTTACTTAAACTCCCATGTGATTTTATTGGTAATAATTTTTTTCCTTACTTTTTTCGTGTAAGAATCGAATATTCTGAAGACGTGTAAGAATCGAATATTCTGAAGAACAAGCAAAGAAGAGAAAAGGAAAATAAGAGACCAAGAACAAAAGGACAGCATCATCATATGACACGACAAGTATTCTTCTCACCATACGGTCCAAATTTCGAATATTAACGAATTTTCGGGGCATTACAGTACAAGTTTTACGGCCAATGATAACAACACCATGGAAACCCCTGGTAGATTAGTTAGGGATAAACCATGTGATCACAAGCACTCAAGCCAAGCAATTGCATGGCTACTCTCCCATGTAAAACTCGAATTTTCTTCCATCCCACTCACATACAAATTGGCAAAACCAACTTTGGGCCTCAAAATGCAACAATCCAACATCATAGATCATTCAAAATTAAGTTACTTAAACTCCCATGTGATTGTATTGGTAATAATTTTTTTCCTTACTTTTTTCGTGTAAGAATCGAATATTCTGAAGACGTGTAAGAATCGAATATTCTGAAGAACAAGCAAAGAAGAGAAAAGGAAAATAAGAGACCAAGAACAAAAGGACAACATCATCATATGACACGACAAGTATTGTCTACCATATCTAAGCTTATTTTGTGTTCACATTAAGGACAATGTGTATTTTAAGTATGGAGGGTGTAACTTCATTATTCTGTTATATTTGTTTGTTTGTGCATGATATAAAAAAAATTGATATGCCATAAAAATTCCAAAAATTGAAATAACAAAAAACAAAAATATTTTCTTGTTATATGTGTACTTGTGTGAGTTGATAGTCTTGCCGGCAAATGATAAAATAATTTGGAACTATGTATGATTCATGAATTGCGATTAGGTGATGCTACTTTAACTAATTCGGTATCTGTCCATGTAAGATTTAATATTTTAAGCACAATAGTCAAGACAAACATCATGTACTTTT